AGCGGTTGTTTGCAACATCGTTGAAAAAGTTTTCATCCATTTGTCCCTCGTAAATTTTGTAATCGCCCGGCACAACATAGGAAGTATATACTAATTGCCAAAGCTGCCAAGCCTCGATGGGCTTCTCCTCGTTATAATTATTGAAATCAACGGGGCAGGCGGAGGACCGTTGTACCGGAAGAACCGGGCTAAATGAACCGGTTAAATAAACGTCGAGTGTTTTCTATCTTAATATTCGATTAAACACGGAGGGCGGACGCTTTGAAGATAAATGGGTTATTAAATACTTGGCTAGTATATACGCGTGTACTTGCACGTACGAGAGTTACATTCAAACATCTTCAAAAAATAAATTGTTAAAATGTTATTGGACGCATATGGATGAAACGTCGTAGTTCGAATTTATCGAAGAAAATCGTGAAGAGATTTACAATAAAAATATATATCGAAACCATATTACCAATCTTGCGTGAATTCAAAAATCCACAGAAAAGAATTAGAGAATTGAACCATTCTTCCATTCTTAAACATTGAAACTGATAATTCTTGGTGAACGTGTTTTACTTCGATTAAATTTTGACACGATATTTTGACATTGACACTGATCATCATTTGCAATAATTTTAATAATTTCCGCACGAAAATATTTGAATAAATTACGGCGCTCGTGTGCCGATCTATAAACTGGTGTTTGACACACAGATGCATGAACAAGTCAAATCGTCCTGTTTAATTAATAGGGAAGTGCGGGGGCGAGAAAATTATAGCGAAAGCAATTCGTCGCCGTTGCACGAGGAGGAAACGTTCGTTTGCTCTCTTACATTTGCACCGCAATTACTGAAAAATCTTGTCCATTTGCGTCAACAATTTCGACAATCAATGCCAATGGAACAATGATATGTTTATCTCGTTATACGAGGCTACTTTGCCGCGCCGAATCAATCGAAATTGCTCGGGCAAATAAACGGGCGAATAAACAGGCGGCCTTGCTTTTATATATTGCCGGGGGAAAGTTAATTTTAATTTCGAACCGTTCGAACGCTCGCGTCGCCGA